ACTGACGTTTCACGTTTGCCGTGAACGTAAATCTAAAACTCTCTATTGATAGATTTCTTCCGCGGCTGGGCAAATGTAATTCAATCAATCAAGCCCTATTCCTGTCTCATTCATATTCCATTCGGGTTTTATCTTGTAAGACTACTTCAGTCGCGCCACATATTGGTCACTGACAAAACACAACGRTTCTCACTAAAACCAAGTCTCCGGTACTTGAGTACAGGAGTCTTAAAAAAACAAACAGAATGGCTATCAATCTAAATACAACAGACTGGCTTTTGACAGCTCGAGCAAGTGTGACCAAGTGCAAACTAAATTATACATGAAAATGACGAAGCCTTGAAAGCAATGAGAATGATATTCAATAGTGCTCGCTAGTGTACATCCTGTTCGAGAAAAAATTCCGGTTTTCTTGATCAAAGTCTGATCGTAAACGGATACACTTTGTACAAAAGAAATTAAAAGACTAGAAGGGATGTACACRTCCTGAATAAGCAAATACAGTCTAATAATTCAATGTAGAATGTTCACCTTCTTGTTCTTTTTTGARTTGATTTATGATGGCTCAGCAGATGGGGAGGATAGAATATTCTAGTTTTTCGATGACTTATTAATATAATATTGAAGAAGAGACAATATAGCGTGGTTGGCTATGATGTTGATAACAATAAATACAATATAGAACCAATTTGACTATTAAAGTTACTAGAAAGGAAGAACAAAAAAATCTTAGGACAAAGAAAAAAAGGAAAGCAATTTCTCTTTTTGTGCTAAATATTTTTTCAATTCCCTTATCAAATGTGATCACCGATGCTATTAACACCATACAATTTCTTTTCTTGACTTTATGATAAGGGGAAGTATATGTTCTGGAAAAAGGTGTGATCTTTATCAGTGACAACTTCCATTATCGCAACACTGATCGACTTACAAAAGGCAAGAGATTCCGGCGTCTGAGGGGGCAGGGAAATAAAAAACTTCAACGAACTGGGGTCATTATTATGTGAAGTGTGACAAGGAAACGTTATAGCAGAATAATGTTACCAAATATGTTTTATACCGTTCGAAACACATATTGTTTGAATAAATGAAGAGATGGATAAAAAAATAAATAAATAGAATCGTGGAAAACGTTTGCTTCAGAACTCCTTGAAATAATTACGGAAGCGGGTAGATGCACTATATTCTACAACGATGTCAGTAGCTTTATTATCATGCTCAATTCCAAATTTAGAAGCCTAATCGGTTTTCTGCACTCAAATGGCTTTTTTTCTACCGCTGTACTTGCACATTTCAATAGGTGTCAGGTGTCAGGTGTCAGGTGATCTATTGTTGCGTAGCCACAGGCTTCAACAAATTGTGTGCATCGTTGTTCATGAATATCAAAATGTGAGGACAGCTAAAAACGATAACGCTGTCATAACTAATCACACCAAATTCTAAATACACGGTACGATTTTTCCTCGCGATTGTYGCGTGCAACATGTTGACGACACGAAATGCTTCATATAAATAGACCGAAACAGAAACTTGCTTATGATGGTAAATGGCAGTTAAAACTTGGAGTAAGCATGCTGYGCGCGATTAGATGGTTCTCCCGATGGCTTTGATAGAAATRGCGGGAAACTAGTGCCAAAATACGCTCACTCGCCCCCTCAYCCCCAGATCTATTAAAGCCTCACTACGAACGATACAAAACGGTAGGGTACGTTCTCCAACAGTCATACAAAATCATCTCAACTAACCTGCAGATAAAGTAGATTGTCAAGATTGACCAAATCCAGAAGATCTTGTCTGATCTTACATTCCTTGGTTTCCATGGCTACCCCAGACACACTGGGTCCACGACTTGAACCAGCGTATTTACTAATGTTCTTATAGATTAACACATAGGGAGTGTCCTTGGGAAATCGTTTKGTGATTTCCGAGAAAGTCTCAAACTTCGCGGACGATACTCTACTGTCGTTAAACAAGCACCAAGAATGGTTGTCCGTGCCGACCAAATGAAGTGGCTTTTTACCGCCACTACTTTTATCATTGTTTTCATTGGCTGTGACGTCATCATCCTGGACCACGTGACCCGAGGGCCTCGCGTAACAGTAGTAGTGCCCGCTCTCGGACGACACCCCAGAATGCACCACAACGGACGTTAGCGCGTACATAGTTTCTGAGGGAAAGTTCTCTAGYGGTAGCGCACTAGAGGCACTATCAGCTACCRTTGGTGCGCTAGGAGGWGCGCAATCGAAATCTTGTTTAGTGCACTTACTAGGCGGTGCTTCCATTTTTTCATCGTTCAGGCATTTATCTATAGGGGGTGTATGGCGCTCCTCCAGTACAGGAGAGCCACGTTTGGCTTCCTCTTCCTTGACTCGGATGATATTATTCGACAGTTTTAATTTTAATGGATATGTAACACTCTGTAGGATCTTTGATCTCTGGTGTGTCGTCACATTGTAAGAGAACCTTTTCAGAKTCAACACAAGGAATCTYGGAGCCTTAGAGATRACGACACTGCGCTCGGCTACTTGCAAGCTTTGGCAYTGTTCACAGTGATACTGGTTTGACCCTTCAAGAATTTCGGGTTCAAAGAAATACCCAAGCATTTCTTCCAAGGATATACTAGGATCTTCAGCTCCTATCCCATAGGTAGACACCTTGCTCTGAGATCCAGAGCTCTTGGGCAGTGTATAGTTATTGGTCGGAGAACTGGGCCCTGACTCTGAACTAGACTCGCTTTCGCCTTTGCTATTGGATGAGATTGATGGTACCGATGGGCGTTGGCCGATATCTCCCCCCTTTAGACTYCTATCGGAGCTAGGTATGTTGGCGTTTTCTGCTGGTTGGTCGACAAGAGGTTTACCTGGTCCGTTAGATAAGTCTCGATCCACCCARGTGCTGTTTTGAGGAAAGGCTAGAGGTAAATCAATGAAGACTTCTTCACGGTATGACACATAGTTACAGCGTCTACATCGATGACACACCAGYAGTTTYCCTTCAAACGTGTCCTCGATAATGTTACTATGCAGTTGCCTATGAGGGATTTTCTCTTTGAGTTCAGTTAAATTCGAGACAACCTTGTCTTCTTCTTCGATTCTGTCCAGAAGGTACTTGAGGAATTCTGAACAATCTTGTTGGGACCCGGGGGTGAACCATGGGGGACGAGCCACATGATGGAACTTGGAYGGGGAAAATGCGGCACGCTGTGAAAAAAAGCCAGGACATGAGTCGGGCTTCCTGTGGCATTTCTAAGGGAAGATGCTATTTTTAATTGGGATACCAGTGGTGAATATGGTGAAATGTTTATAAGAGTATTATGGGAGTGGAATGAATGATAAATACCCTAGCCTCAATATATGTGCACTTGCCTGTGACATTTTGAGAAATACGAACAGTTCCTGCAGCCGATAAATGACCTTTTCAAAAGCTCTGGTGGTATTCCTTTCCATAAGTAAGCATTTAAACCTAGCATTTAAAAAAACTCATTTAGTAATTTCCTTGTTGTATACTAGGGGACACTTTCAGAGACTCAAGATCAGGCTAATACATTCCAAWTAAAGCTTCCAAGATTTTGAAATAAAGACTTTGCCCCATCAAGTGATGGTAGCCATGACAGGAGGCACAAAAATAGAGCATTTTTTTACCCTGGGAAACTGAATTCTTTCTCATGTAAATCAGATTAGGCCAGATTCAATTATTCCTGCCCTCCAGTCATGRCTGCCATCATGTGAGGGTGCAAAGCATCTATACTCTAAATATTGCATGCTTGATGTCCCTGACCCYACCCTAGACAGATTTGTTACCATTGTATGTACTTACTCATCCAGCATGTACAAAGCCTGTATAATACTGTTCATATAACAGGTATTACCCAGGTTGACCAGTCCTGTTCTTCCTGTTTCTGACTTGGGCGTCATTCTGGACGGTGGTATCTGGTTGAATGCTTGCGCAGACCATGCAGCCTGGGCCAGCCACTTCTTGATCATGGCTTCAGATGGCTTGGTGAAGTCCTAATAGGAATCAAAAATGAAATGGGAAAAATGAAAGAAAGATAATTATTTTTTAGGATGACATTTAGATGGGCAAGATTAATATGGATGGATGGATGGATGGATGGATGGATGGATGCATCGGTGGTTGGATGGGTGGATGGATAGCTTGACAGACAGATAGGTGATGGAAAGAAGGATGACAGGATAGATTGCTGGATGGATGGATGGTAGGATGAATGGATATATGGACAGACAGACAGATGAATGAAGGGGATGAGATGGATGGATGGTTGGATGAATGGAAGGAGGGATTGTTGGATGAATAGTTCCTATTAATAGGTTTGCCATGCTACCCCCCTCCCCCCCC